TTAAAGATAGGATCAAAACTGGGGCCTCCCTGGTGGCCTAGGGGTTATGTCACAGCACTATCACCATTGTGGTCTAAGTTCAATCCCCAGCCAGGGAGCTAACCTACATGGCCCAGCAAACCTCTCTCACCCACTGCTTCCCTCAGCAGTGTATTTCAGTAGATCTGCCTATTCCACTCCCCACTCTCTCTGGTGAATCCTCTCACTGCCTTCACCGCAGTTCTGTGCAAAAAATAAAATCTTTTAAAAAAATACATCAAAACTAAAACACTGGGTGTGTGCATGTGTTCTTTTGAATTGTGAGGTAGAAACTATGCCAAACAATTGGTGGGAAATTGTGCATGATAAGGGACTATTGACAGGTTTTCTACCCTATGGAAAACACTAAAAATGTGATTAATGTTAACCTGGCCTTTTTCTTTTCTTTTTTTTAAGATTGATTTATGTATGCACACAAGAAATGGGGTACAGGCCAGAGGTGTGGGGGGTGAGTGGATTCACCAGAGACAGAGTGGGGAACAGAACAGGCAGACTGACTGAAACACACTGCTGAGGGGAGCAGCAGGCGAGATGCGCAAGGTGTGCTACGCCATGTGGGTAGCTCCCTGGTAGGGGATCAAAGTCATGTTGCAGTGGCTGCGGACAGCTTCGTAGGTTCCATCTTAACCCCCTGTGCCGCAAAGGAGGCCCAACCTAGGCTTTTTAACAAACATAATGGAGAGGGTTTTATAGCTATAATTTCAGTTTATTCTTTTCCCACTGTAACAAGTATGTTCTCATGTCATTATACTGACTTCATAAGTTGCCGTCTTTTAGACATGGGACATTGCCTTATCTGTACAGCTAGCACTAACTGTCAGGAATGTCAGTTTTTAGAATTGCCCAGAATTGTTTGTCCTGTTAAGTCCCTGTAAGATCATTATTTAGAATCTTAAACCTGTTAGATTTGTGTGGTTGGAAGGACATTAAGCTGGAGAAAGGTCATTGTGTTATAATTCCTACTCTGTTTCCCTTGCCAGCATCTAAGATCATGTGCAGGTAACAGCAGGTTGCAGCCTCTCTGGCCCTCTAGATTCTGTGTATTGCCCTTGGTCTTTTGAATGTTGTTCTTCTACCCTACCCTGTACTTTAAGCCCCTGTTAGTTCTAACCTGTTCATATGTATGCTCAGGTGACCCAGCCAAATGGTGGGTCAAGACCACAATATGGGGCCTCCCTGGTGGCGCAAGGGGTTAAGTGCTGCACTATGAAGCAATCTGCAGCCTCTGCAGCCCGAGTTCGATCCCCAGCAGGCCAAGGAGAAACCCACATGGCGAGCAGACCTCTCCTGTCTCGCCTACTGCTCCCCTCAGCAGTCTCAGTCTGCCTGTTCTGTTCCCCACTCTGTCTCTGGTGGATCCTCTCACCCCCTGCATCTCTGACCTGTACCTCAGCTCTTGTGTGCATAAATAAATAAATCTTTTAAACAAAACAAAACAAAAAGACCACAATGTGTAGCTTGTCAGAGGGACCTGAGTCCTAAAGGGTTAAGGCCTAGCCCTTTTAGGTGAGTAGCAAGGTCAGGACCCAGAAACCACCTACAAATAGGTTTAAGCTGCCAGCCCCTAGGGATGTAGCTGGTGCCTGGGGGTACAGAACCACTTTCAGAGCAGCTTGTTATGGAAACCACAGTAGTGGTTGTCAGAGGGGAATCCAGCTTAAGACCCAGGGCACCAGGAGGACAGAACTTGACTCTTCAAGGTGCAGGTGCAGGGAAGCTTTAGGAAACAACTACAAATGGTTTGTTTCCATTAATACAACAAAGTTGGTGAGCCTTGATTGTACCAATTGAGCTCTTGTAACTTGATTTCAGGGTGTTACGTAATTATATTTTTCACAATTTGTACGCTAAATATGTCAGTAGTTACCTGGGTCTGAAAGCTTGAAAGTAGGAATGGTGGTCTAGGCTCCCTGTTACCTTGTTTGAAGGGATTGCTGTGATAGTATAACTACAACCCTTTTAATATTACAGTGACTGGCTCTGGAAGTATTTTACTTAAGTGTATTTTATTTTTTGCTTTAGAGATTAGTACTGCTCAAACATTATATTATTCATTATATTATAGTGAATAAGAGCATAGAATTTGGAGTTTAAGCATCTCAAATCCCTTGTAGGTCCCTGGCAGATACTATAGGTGTCTATTGAAGAGTTTCATTAGTTCTGCCACCAGGCCTTTTTTCCAAATCTGTGCCTTGAGTACTACTCTTTGCTGGAAAAGAAGAGGAGGATGAGGTAAAGGTCAGTGAGTAAGCTCAGCAGGGGGTTGTTTGCCAGACTTCCCTTCTTTCAAGGAGACCCTAAAATCTGTGAAGGACTGGGCTTTGGGAGTAACAATGACTTCAAGAAAGACCAGGTCTTAGCTTCTTTTCTCAGTTTATTATTTATCTCTTCATTCAACAAATAATTGATTGCTTACATGAAGCATAACGTGGAACATTCTAAGTAGACCAAAAAGTACATGTTCTACTTTTCAAGAGGGAAAAAATCCAGTGCTCATCTCAGTGTTATAACAAAATAGGGTTCCTCCCTAGTACAGTGATATGCTTTTCCAAATCATCCCTACCACCACCAAAAATAAATAAATGTAGGTTGAGATTTGTTCCCCCTAAGAGCATCCTATGCCTCCCCCCTCAACTGAAAAGTAGAAAACTCTTGGATGTGTTGGGTCCTGGGCATAGGTTTGAGTTCACAGAGTTTAGGGCCACCTGGATCGATCACCTGTTAGACATGGAGATTCCTGAACTTTGTGGGGCTCAGAAATGCCCATTTTTACAACACAGGGTTGAGATTGATTGGTTGTATCAGAGACTTTAAAAGTTTTGACCACAACCCACAATAAAAATAAGTATTTTACATCACTTCCATTTACATACAAATGCTCTGAAAAACCTTTCATGAAACAATTCCCTTTCAACTAGCATTTTTAGGGCCTAAGTGTTTGGGGGAGCAATCCGTGGTGAACTGGGAAGAAGTTAAGATGAGTGAGCACTGGCTCCTGGATTTCACACCATGGAGGTCACTAATGACCTTGACTGAGCAGTGCGGTAGGATGATAGACATGAAGTTCTGACTGGAGTGGGCTTACAAGAGGAGGGAGGTATGTGACTGGAGATTGCTAGGACAGACAGCTCCAAGGTGTTCTGTCAAAGTGGATCAAAGATGAGTAAGATTTGAGTATAAGCATGTTCTGGCTGTGGTAGTAGCGGTGCATCTGAGTGTGTGGGAGGTGCTGGTGGGTTGGAGGTGTATGGAAGCTCTCTTCTGATTGCTTGCATTTTTCTTTTTCTTTCTTTTTTTTTTTTTTTTAGACTCTGCCCAGTAACAAGATGACTCCATTCTTTTCTTTTTTTTTTTTTAATAGAGGCATGTTTTATTTATTTGTTTGTTTGTTGATTGCTTGCATTTTTCTTAGTGAAGATTAGCATACTGATGGCGGGAGAGGAGTGAAGACTCATCTGAGAGTCTTGCACCAAATATGGAAGAATACTACTGAAGGGCAGGCCCCTCTCAATGGAAAAAGAAAAGGGCTTGAGAGGTACAGAGCTGCGTTCAAGATCACAGGGCTGGTTAATGGCAGAACCAAGCCTAACCCATTCTGCCTTGTTACCTGGTCTGGTACTTGCTATATCTATGAGAAATGAATGTTTAACAAGAAAAGGGTCCTCTTGGCAGTTGCTTGTGTCACAACCTACAGGTCTGTGCTAATCAGAGAACTTCCGGTGAGCAGCTTTCTCATCTCTGCTCTTGCTCTCTGGATTCTTGGTTATTTTGCAGTCCTACTTTGTATCTATCTTATGAATATCTTGTAAGACTTGTAAAAATTAGATTGCAAGGATCTGGGTGGTGTCTTATAATTGGCATTTCTAAAAAGTTCCCAGGTGATACTGAGACTTAATTCAAGAACCATGCTCTGAGGACCACTGAACTATATACACTTCTGTATCCTTCTCTACTGGGTTTAAACTGGTGAACTTGGGGCCTTCCTGGTGGCACAAAGGGTTAAGATGCAACCCATGAAGCTGTCCGCAGCTGCTGCAGCATGAGTTCAATCCCTGGTCAAAGCTACCCACATGGCGCAGCAGACTCTCCTGGCTTACCTGCTGCTCCCCTCAGCAGTGTATTTCAGTCAATCTGCCTGTTCTGCTCCCCACTGTGTCTCTGGTGAATCCTCTCACCCCCCCACCCCTCTGGCCTGCATCTCAGTTCTTGTATGCATAAATAAATCTTTAAAAAAAAATAAACTGGTGAACTTGGAAGACATCTCACATCCTAGGAGTATCTACCATGAATGGTGTAAGAATGCTGAACTCATTCAGCACATTCACATTGACCACCCACTGTGTGCCTGGCTCTTTATCTGGGAGATACAGCTGTGGAAGAGAATCTGTCCCTGAGGGATGCAGTTTCCTGCAAGCTTCACCAACTCTCTCCCCCTCAAATTTACTTAGTGGTAATTGACAAAATTGTATATTTTTAAGCTGAATAACCAATAACTTATACATGTATACATTGTAAAATGATTACTGCAATCAAGTTACTTTTTAAAATATGACAGGCATCTTAGTCTTTCCCAGCAACCTATAAAAATACTTCCTTGATGCTGCACTCCTTGCAAATTAACACAGTTTACACTCCTTATAACAATGTGCCCAGCCCGCGCCCCCTTCCCCAACATCTACCCCTTTGGCTCTTTCTTCCTCCCATCTCCCTTTTAGCCTCAGAAAACTTAGTTATCAGTGCTCAGTAGTTAAAATTATTTTGCTTTGTCCGTTCATCTGCTTTGATTCTTGATTTATACTCATTGTCCAATATTTATCTCTCTGACTTTACTACACATAAATCTCTTAAACTCCTTCATTTTTCTATAAATGGTAACAATTCATCTTTCCTTAGAGTTGAATAGTATTCCATTGTAAGCCTGAATCCTGTATTGTGTGGTATTTTAAAATGCAACATTTTTGTACATTAATTTTATAAACTGCCACTTTGCTGTACTCATTTATTGTTTCTCATAGCTTTTTTGATGGGGCCTTTAGTGTGAATAAATTCCACTTGGTAATGTTGTATGATCTTTTCAATGTACTGTTGAATTCCTTTCACTGTATTTTGTTGAGAATTTCACATCATCATTCATCAGAGATACTGGTCTGTAGTTACCTCCCGTAACATAGCTGCAGACAATAGAGTAAGTGCATATGGAGACACAGGGGAACCAATCTAGTCCTCCCCCACCAGTTCATTATTCATAGTAGGGTGCCCCAAGCTCAAGTTGACATGCTGACAGTCACCTCCTTACACAGACCAGGTGCTGGCAGCCAACCAGCAATATCCGCTGTCCTCACACTCTCCTATTTAATGATTGGGAGTTTCACTCTCCAGCTCTGTCTGCCTAGCTGCTATCCGGGAGCATAGCATCTGCATTTGCAGGTGTCACTCTACTGTGGCCTCCTGCAGGTCTCTGTACCCCTACTCCTATAGTGTCTGAGTGTGGACCCAACTCTACTGTACCCCACCTCTAGTAGTGCCCTGGTTCTAAAGTCCCAGAAGTGGGCCTGAGCCCCTCTTTCAGTTAGCAACAGCAGAGAGGCTCTGTATAGTATTCCCCTCCCCCCCTCAGGTGGCACTGCCTGGGTGACACTCCAAATGGGATTAAATGTCGGTTTTTCCTGCCCCTCTGCAGTGTTGCCTCTTTTGATGTATGCAACTGTCCTTTGTTCTTCATTCAGGGAATTTTGTATATGTATGATGTCCTAAGTACGTGGAGGACGTGACTTCATATATGTTCACTCTTCAACATCTTGCTGGACTCCATTCCCTTTTTTTGATGAGAACATTTGAGTATATTTCTCCAACTTTGTTCATTCCAGTGCTGCTATTATTAACATGCCATATCCATGTACCACCTGTATTATCTAAATGTTTATTTTAAATGGAACATCATTAGTATCACTAGCTGTTGGATGCTGTTGCCTGCTAGACTCTGGGCCTGAGGCTTGTTCTATTTGCAAATCAGTGGCAGTGGTTAGAGAGGTGCTGGCGAGTACCAGCATGGCTACATGCCCTCATTCCCCCTGTGTTACTTGTATAGTAAAGATGAAGCTGAGGCACAGAGAGCTCATTCTGCTAGTTAAGGCCATAGCAGGGGCTGAACCCAGGCAGCCCAGCTATAGAGGCATGTGGCCACCCTAATCACCACCACCACAATGACTCCTTGTCATCAGTTTGAAAAATAATTAGAAAGGGGATATTTCTCACTTTGTGTTTCAATATTTAGTACTGTGTTCATGTGCTGTCTAAAATCAGGCACCCTCCAGTGTGACATGCCCTTCTTGAGACCAGGTTAAAAGACTGATGTGTGGCATGCTGGAGGTTTCCAAGCTGTTCTGTGAGTACTGGAGGCCTGGGGAGGTGGGATGATGACAAAAAACTCATTTGATTTAAATCTCAGAGCCAGGCATGAATCAGGTGAAGAAAAGGATTGAGGAAAGTCATTCCGGGCAAGGCAGCAGTGCTCACTGAGGTGTGGATGTGTTAAGTTACTTGGTGTATCTGGAGCTGAGAGAGGTGCTGGGAGCCTGGTAGAAAACCACTCCTAACTGGAGGGCACGAGCCCTGGCGCTCTAGCGATCTTGTATGGAATCTCAGTCCTCACTCTTAACCTGATCTTGGTAAATTTCTTAATTTCTCTGAATTCACTTTTAGCTGGTAAATAGGGATACATATTTATATGGACTTTGTTATCATGGGGAATAAAAATAAGGTGTTGAAGTTATTATGACATGAATGGTCCTAATTATTATTAGTTACCTTTGTCTTTTGAAAGCTCATCCTAGCAGCAGTTGTATATGGGGCATTGAGACTGGGCAGAGGCGGAAGCCGCAGGAACATTTAGCCATGCTCCTGATGTGAGATGCTGTGACCTGAATTCAGGCAGCTGGATAAGGGATACAAAGGGGGACAGCTGTGTGATAACTGGTATTTGTACATTTTAGTCAAAACTACTGTTGTTTGTAAGCCACCCTGAAAGTCTGAGGTAAATTCTAATTTGTAATTTTTCTTAGAAACCCTAAAAAGTGTCTATTCTTAAATCATTTGTTAGCAAGGATGATGGGGGTGCGGGGAAAATTATGTGGTTTATGAAAAATTGTTTCTGGGCCTCCCCAGTGGCGCAGCAGTTGAGTGCTGGACTGCAAAGCTGCCTGTAGCCTCTGCAGCGCTGGTTCAAACCCCGGCCACCGGGGAGGGTCCCACATGGCACGCAGACCTCTCCTGCCGTGCCCGCTGCTCCCCTCAGCAGTGTACTTCGGTCCTTCTGCCTGTTCTGTTCCCCCTCTGGCTCTGGTGAATCCTTTCACCCTCCTGTGCTTCTGACTGTACCCAGTGCTTGTATAAACAAACAAATAAATAAATAAATCTTTAAAAAAAAAAAAATTGTTTCTGAGCAGAAACAAATTTGGGATCAAGTGCCAGTCAGATTCAACAGACCAGGATCCATGGTATGGGCTCCTCTGTATAGGCTGCTGTATACTCTGCAGCGAGAGGGGGAGCCATTTGTTTTCATTATATTTTCCCCCCCAAAATTATTTATTTATTTATACAAGCACTGGGTACAGTAGGAAGTGCGGGAGGGTGAGAGGATTCACCAGACCCAGAGCGGGAACAGAACAGGCAGACTGATGAAGTATACATTGCTGAGGGGAGTGGCGCGCGGCAGGAGAGGTCTGTGTGCCATGTGGAGCCCTCGCCTGCGGCCGGGGATCGAACCCTCGCTGCAGAGGCTGCGGGGCAGCTTCGCAGCCCAGCACTCAACCGCTGCACCACTGGGGAGACCCTGTTTTCATTATTTTAATCCAATATAAGTTACTCATCTAAGGAGAAGTTTCAGGTCAAGCAAAAGTTGAACAGACAATTTAATAGCTCTATAAAGTACTGTAGTTCTGAATTTTTTTTTTTAAAGATTTTATTTATTCATTTATACAAGCACTGGGTACAGTCAGAATCACGGGAGGATGAGAGAATTCACCAGAGCCAGAGCGGGGAACAGAACAGGCAGACTGGCGAAACACACTGCTAAGGGGAGCAGCAGGCGGCAGGAGAGGTCTGTGTACCATGTGGGACCCTCGCCGGCAGCCAGGGATTGAACCGGTGCTGCAGAGGCTGCAGGCTGCTTCGCAGCCCAGTGCTCAACCGCTGCACCACCAGGGGAGGCCCTGTAGTTCTGAATTTTTTTTTTTTTAACTATTTATTTATTTATTTTATTTATTTATACACACACTGGGTACAGTCAGAAGTGCGGGAGGGTGAGAGAATTCACTGAGCCACAGTGGGGAGCAGAGCAGGCAGAAGGACCGAAGTACACTGCTGAGGGGAGCAGCGGGCGGCAGGAGAGGTCTGCGCGCCATGCGGGACCCTCCTCTGGTGGCCGGGGAGCAGCCGGGGATCAAACCGGTGCTGCAGAGGCTGCGGGCAGCTTCGCAACCCAGCGCTCAACCGCTGCGCCACCGGGGAGGCCCTGTAGTTCTGAATTTTTATGATAAGTGGGATATCTGAAGTTCTTCTCCTTCCAAGTTATACTTTATTTCATACTTTAGATGCAATTATATTGGAGTATAAATTTAGAGAAGTCTCAGAAGTCTCCCGTCCCCTAGGATATCAAGTGTTCTCTGTAGAATTCGCAGGTGTTGGTCTATAATTTTCATTGCTCTACTTTTCTCATGTTTTTAAAGATGGTAACAACAAATGAGGTCATCAAGTATAGGTTCTGGAAAGCAATTACAAGACAGGGAGCTTCGTTTTGAAATATAATAATCTAGTATCCCGGCACAGTCTTTGAAAGTATTTGCCACTTACTAGAATTTATCTGAAGGACTGTGGTCAGTTAGGTTTAGAAGGCCTCCAGATAAAAAGTGTAAAACCTGTGTAGATTGTCTGAGATCTTGTACAAACACATTTCATTCATGCAAGGTAGAAGCATGTAAATGTTCAGACTGCCAGGTTCAACCTAGAGTGACTCCCATTGAGCCATAAGAGATCTTAGAATTGAAATAAATGGACCTGCTGTGTACTGTTGAGCTTGTGCATTAACCCCTCAGAGCTTCAGTTTCCTTATCTGAAAAATAGGGATACTACTATGTACAAGATTATTGAGTGCTGAATGACATCATACTTGCACAGTACCTGCCACAACAAGCATTGGCTCCACCATGCAGGCAACTTCAAAACAGCCTTTGTAACCATCTATCTAGTTATTCATCTAACAGATACTCCTTGAAGACAACTGTATTTCAGGTGCTGTGTAAATTCTGAGAATAATATATTCTCCTGGAGCTCCCATTTGGTAAAATAAAACAGATACATAATGTCAAGCACTGACTAAGTGGTATGAAGGGAGTGTTAAAAGAGTGCCAGGAGGGAATTCTGGGGAGGTTGGTTACATTTGAGCAGACCTGGAAGATGTGAGGGAGGCAGCCTTCCCACTGTCTAGGGGCCAAGTAATTCAGGCAGGGGGACTTGCCAAGACTGTAGAGCACAGCAAGGGCTGGGAGGATAGAGAAAAGAGGCAGGGTAATAATGACTAGATTAGTCCTGCAATGGGAAGGTGTTGCGGTTTGGAAAGGGAGTTTGGTTGCCTGCTGTAGTTTTTCCCCCACTCTAGCATTTCATCAACTCTGCCTTTAAAAAAGGCAACTCTATTTTGGAATACTTTTATACTTACAGAAGAGTTGTAAAAAACAAGTCACACACACAAATGAGTGCAAGTAAAATTGTGAAGATGGATAAATGGTATCAATGTTAGTATCCTGGTTGTGATATAGTATATAATTTTGCAAAATATTACTGGAGGTAACTGGGCAAAGTGTACAATGAATCTGTATTCCTGTTTATATCTGCATGTGACTACAATTATCTCAGTAACCATTTCAATTAAAATGAGCTCTTATAGGGCCTCCCTGGTGGCGCAAGGGGTTAAGTGTCAGCACCATGAAGCTATCTGCAGCCACTGCAGCACGAGTTTGATCCCCGGCCAGGGAGCAACCCAGATGGTGAAGCAGACCTCTCCTGTCTCACCTGCTGCTCCCCTCAGCTGTGTATTTCAGTAGATCCACCTGTTCTGCTCCCCACTCTGTCTCTGGTGAATCCTCTTACCACCCATCGCCCTGCACCTCTGGCCTGTATCCCAGTTCTTGTATGCATAAATAAATAAATCTTAGAAAAAAAAAAAAAAAGCTCTTATAAACCCTTCACCCTGCTTCCCCTGCTATTAACTTCTTAGTAACCATGGTCCAAACTAAGAAGTTGGTATTGATACAATATTGTGAATTCTATTTGAATTTCACCAGTTTGTGTGTTTTTAGTTTTTGTTTGTTTTTGCTAATATTGCCTTTCTGTTCCTAGATCCAATCCAGATCCCACATTGCATTTAATTGGTATCTATCCTTAGTCTCATCCAATCTGTGGCAATTTTTAGTCTTGTCTTTCGTGACATCAATACTTTTGAAGAGTAATTATCACTTTGTAGACTGTCCCTCAGTTTGGGTTTGTCTGATGTTTTCTCGTGATTGAACTGAAATTAGAGCATTCTGGAGGAGAAATACCACAGAGGTGATGTGTCCTTTCAGTGTATCATAATCTAGGGGTAAATCATGTTGCTATTTTACTAAAGAGTTAAGAGAGAAGAATCTCCAAGGAAGGGCTCTAGGTAATTTTGGGAAATAATGTTCGTTGGAAACTTTAAAGAGAAAAAAAACTCGATACAAATTCTGTACTCCAGTTTGTCACCGCAGTGGGGGGGAGGGAAGGAGAAATGAGCATGAATCTGACTTAGCAATTCTGAAATTATTTTAATAATAGGTAAGTATATTGTAGATAATGAGAACCAAGCTTCTCAGTGTTGGAAAAGAAGTAACAAAAAAGAACTACCAGTAAGCAAAGGGGAAATGCCAGAATGAACCTCCAGGGTGCTGGAGTGGAGCCAAAGGTATACATACAGAGGTAAATGTGTGTGGGCATTTAAGAGTATCAATACATGTATTTCCTACCTTTCTGCTAAGGCTGAAAATAGTAACAACCTGCTAACCATCACCTTAATCAAGCATTCAATATCACCAGTACTAAGACATACCAATACCATGATGTAAGTTTAAAAGATGAGTTGTGAAGATGGCTGGGGACTGTGGGGTGGTGGCGGTGGCAAAGAATGAATGTAAAGGGTCTTGAGGTAAGAATAAGTGGTTTGGACCAGGTTGGTAGTGGTGAAGACATGGTGAGTAGGGTGGGATTCTGGATATTTGATTCTGCAGTTATTTGAAGATCAGATTGACAGGATTTATTGATGGACTGGATTGGATTGGATAAGAGACCTGTGAGAAAGGCATTAAGATTACCACCTAGGTTTTTGGCTTGAACAGTTGGGTGAATGGTGTTAATCACTAACAGGGAAAGACTATAATATAAAAGTAACAGGCTCAGGGCCTCCCCGGTGGCGCAGTGGTTGAGCGCAGTGCTGTGAAGCTGTCCACAGCCTCTGTAGTGCCGGTTCAATCCCTGGCCGGCAAGGGTCCCACATGGTGCGACAGACCTCTCCTGCCCCACCCACTGCTCCCCTCAGCAGTGTATTTCGTCAGTCTGCCTGTTCTGTTCCCCACTCTGGCTCTGGTGAATTCTCTCACCCTCCTGCGCTTTTGACTGAACCCGGTGCTTGTATAAATAAATAAATAAATAAATCTCTAAAAAAAAAAAAAGGAACAGGCTCAAAGAGAAAATAAAGGGTTTGGTTTTAGATATATTTGAGGTGTCTTATTAGTTATTAGTCATCTAAATGGAGATATTAGGACCTCCCTGGTGGCACAAGGGGTTAAGCACCACACTGTGAAACAATCCACAGCCTCTGCAGCATGAGTTTGATCCCCGGCTGGCCAGGGAGCAACCCACATGGGGCAGCAGACCTCTCCTGACTTGCCCAGTGCTCCCCTCAGCACTGTACTTCAGTCAATCTGCCTGTCCTGTTCCCCACTCTGTCTCTGGTAAATCCTTTCACCCCCGCCCCCCCACACACACCTCTGGACTGTACCCAAGCTCTTGTGTGCATAAATAAAAATAAATCTTTAAAAAAAATAAATGGAGATGTCAGATAAATGGGGGAAATAGATATAAGCTTGCGAGTTACCAAGATACAGGGAGAATCAGTTTATGCATTGTATGTAACAAAGAGTGCCTCAAACTTTAGCAGGCTTCCAGATCTGCTAGAGAGTATATTAAAGAGAGTATATTAAAACATAGATTCCTGGGTCTCCTGGGAATTCCAATTCAGTAGATCTGAGGTGGAGTCAAGCATTTGCACTTCTCAAAAAAATAAATAAAAAGAATTTGCATTTCTAACACTTTTGCCTGTGATGCTGATGTTGCTGGTCTCCAAGCACACTTTGAATAGACCCGATGCTCACCTTCCCCCTTTGTATTCAATTTCCGCTTCCTCAAAATATACACTGGAGGACAAGTGTCTAAAAGTCAGATGCCTATGGGGCCTCCCTGGTGGCGCAAGGGGTTAAGTCTCAGCACTATGAAACTATCCACAGCCATTGCAGCACGAGTTGGATCCCAGCCAGGTTGCTGACCCAGCAGACCTTTCCAGTCTTCCCCACTGCTCCCCTCAGCAGTGTATTTCAGGAGATCCACCTTTCCTGCTCCCCACTCTGTCTCTGGTGAATCCTCTCACCCCCTGCACCTCTGGCCTACAGCCTAGCTCTTGTATGCAAAAATAAATAAATCATTAAAAAATAAATAAAAGCCATATGCCTCAAATAATTACCATTTCTTTTTTTTAAGCTGAAACCTGAGTCATTTACTTTTTATCTTGTCTAAAATCATAATGTGAGTGAATGGCAGAGTCAGAATTTGAAACCACACCTCCAGAGTGTTTGCGTTATATCCTCTGCCTTATGCAGCCTGCATAATCTTAGACAAATCTTCAGACTCACCATCTGTTTTCTGCGTAAGATAATATATATGAAAGTGCCACACAAATGCTAACACAATATATACTTGGACAGTGTCCCCATCGTCATTATCACAGGTGTGGTCAGTGTTTGTCAGTGTGCCTGACCTTGCTGATCTGGGAATAGTAGAGTCTCAGCTCTAATTGTGAACTGAGTCTCCGTGGAGAGAGTGTGTGGTATATAATGAATTCCTCTGTGCTCTAGACTACATTCCTTTGGTCTTTGTTTTAGAAATTGCCCCCATGGTGATCAAAACCATAAAGGCTTTCACAAACAGATTATCATGCCCATCAGCTAAACACATGGTGTGGGACGGGGCAATCAGAGGAGGAGATAAGGGGGAACTAACATTTTATTGACGGCATCTCCTTTGTTCCAGGCCCAAAAGTTGAGATAACCTCAACAGTTGCCCTACAAATTATCTAACACTCTCAATCAACAGATGAGAGGAAAGGCTCAGAGAAACCCCAGGAAGTAGTGGAGCTTGAATTCTAACCCTGTTCTTCCTGACTCAAAGCAGCTCTTCACATTGTGCTGTTGCCTCAAAACGAAGTGTGAAGTAGAGTAGATGTGTGGCCTCTGTTTTATATGATTCTTTACCTAACAGCTTCAACAGGGAAGACGAGCCCCATAAACACTGGCGTGTTTACCTATAGGCACAGGGTGAGTTGTGGGAGTGCAACTTCAGATTTATCACTGATGTGCCCACTGGTGAGCATGAGGCCCTGAGGTGCAGAGCCCACGGCAGTGTATTACTTTCCTGCTGCTGCTGTAAATTACTACAAAATTACCATTTATTCTCTTACATTTCTGGAGGTCAGATGTCCTAAATGGATCAAGGTTTGGCAGGACTGTCTACTTTCTGAGGCTTTAGAGGAGGATCTGTTTGATTGCCTTTTCCAGCTTCACTCATATTCCTTGGCTCCATCTCTCAAAGCCTGCAACCATATCACCCTAACCTCTGCTTCTGTCTTTCTCTCTCTGACTCTGATTCTTCTGCCTCCCTCTTTTTTTTTTTTTTTTAAAGATTTATTTATTTATTTATACAAGCACTGGGTACAGTCAGAAGCGCGGGAGGGTGAGAGAATTCACCGGAGCCAGAGCGGGGAGCAGGGCAGGCAGAAGGACCAAAGTACACTGCTGAGGGGAGCAGCCGGCGGCAGGAGAGGTCTGCGCGCCATGTGGGACCCTCCTCCAGTGGCCGGGGAGCAGCCGGGGATCGAACCGGCGCTGCAGAGGCTGTGGGCAGCTTCACAACCCAGCGCTCAACCGCTGCGCCACCAGGGAGGCCCTACCTCCCTCTTTTACTAGTAAGAACCCTGTGATTACAGTGGGCCCACCCTGATAATCCAGTTAGTCTCCCCATCTGTGGTGAGGTGAATAGCCAGGTGAGGTAGCACACTCCCCTGTGCCAGGGATGGGGCTGAGCACATCTCAGGGGAAGGGGCATTCTGGGATGAGAAGTAGGTAGGTCAAGAGCTAGTTTTCCTTGCACCATTACCACTCTGAGAATTCTAAATTCAAACCAAACCTTCCAGGTATATTTATTAGGGTAGCATAGAATAGAAACTATATTTAATGGTTTTGGTTTATAACTTTTAGATATTTAGACATGTGGTATGTGGGCCACCAATTGCATTCCTGCCACCAGCCCAGCAAATAATAGGAGTAGAAGGTCTAACCCAAAGTCAGACTACAAATGAGTGTCCAAATTGGAACACAGACCCTCTGTTATTTCCTCCAAGAAGGCCGCCTCTTCAAAGAGAAGTAAGGTGACAGTCGCTACCACTGTGGTTTTCAATTTTGCAATGATGTCATCTTTCTGCCTCCTTGGGCTGTCTGGTTGCCTTTGTTTTTGTTTTTAATAGCACAAACATATTTATTTACTAACTAAAGGGATGATTCTGTGAAACTAATACTTAGGAATAGTTGCATATAAAATATTTATGGTAAAGGTAATTGAATACAGTTATTAAAAAACGTGGAGACTTGCTCATTGAACTGAGCAGAAAACTAAGTGAAAACTAAGTCCTGTCCAAAATGATGGAATTTTTACTCTACTTTTTCATAGACCTGAGCACCAGTGATGATATTCAAGACGCACTCATTTCCCATCTTCCAATTTTCTTTTGACTTTTCTTCCTTCCCATGCTGTGTTCCTGCTATTGAGCCAATGCACCCTTTGTGAAGTTGCAGACAGCCTGGTTTCTCTGCTATCAGCTGTACTTTCTTCAAACTTCTCTCCCAGATTTATATGAAAACTGTTTTCAAAGTGCTCTCAGTTGGTTTTTTTTGTTTTTTGGTTTGTGAGTTTTTTTTTGTGTGTGTGTTTTTTGCCATTAGAAGTAATGACTCAACTCCTCTGGCCATTGCACCCATTTTCACAGAGCCATTCCCACTCCTCTTGCCTTCATGTACTCTTCAAAATCTTTGCTCTCCACCAACTGCCATCTTCCTACCAGCTGCTGAAAGGTGACTAAAAATCTCAGCCTTCCTTTCCACCCAGATTAAGTCTGAATCTCAGGATGTAGGGATTTGGTACATTAGGATGATTTTTAAAACTCCCCAGGTTGTTCTAATATGCAGCCAAGGGCTGAGAATAAGGGCTTTAGGCCATAGAAGACCATGGATGGTTTTACCTGAAATCATACCTGCATTTTGAATCAGTCTGAATTGACAGCTCTGCAGGACATGAGTGAGGCTGGGTGCAGAGGTGGTTTGAGAGGTTGTCTGGTGATCCAGGTGAGAGAACTGGAACCCTGTTAAGTAGATGGAAAGAGGAATTAGATTTTTTTTTTTTAATAGAGGCATGTTTTTATTTATTTTTTTGGTTTTTGTTTATACATGCACTGGGTACAGTCAGAAGCACGGGAGGGTGAGTGAATTCACCAGAGCCAGAGCAGGGAGCAGAGCAGGCAGAAGGACCGAAGTACACTGCTGAGGGGAGCAGCGGGCGGCAGGAGAGGTCTGCGCACCATGTGGGATCCTCCTCCGGTGGCCAGGGAGCAGCCGGGGATCGAACCGGTGCCACAGAGGCCGCGGGCAGCTTCGCAACCCAGCGCTCAACCGCTGCGCCACCGGGGAGGCCCGGAATTAGATTTTGAGAGCATTTAGGAAAATAAAATCAACAGACTCTAGTGACTTGGGGTGGGTAGGTAAGAATCTAGAATGGCTCCCATACTTTCAGACTTCGATGAATAATGCTGTTTCCTGGAACTGAAATGCTGAGCAGAGACGGGTTTCCTGCCAGGTAAACCAACTAGGTGTCCATAAACAACTGCTTGCTCTCTTAGTAGCCTTCTGACTGCTAAACCCCAGGGTTTCTCTAATCTTCACCTTGCCTCAGCTACCTCTGGGTAGTTCAGGGGCTTTCTTTCTTTCTTTTTTTTTTTTTTTTTCCATTTTTGTGTAAAAGAATTGGACTATAGGCCAGAGGTGCAGGGGGTAAGAGTATTCACCAGAGACAGAGTGGGGAGCAGAACAGGCAGATCTACTGAAATACACTGCTGAGGGGAGCAGCGGAGAGGAGAAAGGAGAGGTCTGCTGGGCCACGTGGGTTAGCTCCCTGGCCGGGGATCGAATTCAGGCCTTATCAGTGATAGTGCTGAGACTTAACCCCTAGGGCACCAGGGAAGCCCTTAGAATTATTCTACAGAAATAAATGTTCAAGTGCACAAATTAAGGTGAAATGAGGATTTTTGATGCACAATCTTTTTTAATAAGGAAAAACTAGAGACAACCTAAATTTATTATTAGGAGATAAGTGGAATGAAATCCAGTATATCCACAGAGGTGGAATACCACAGATATGGAATGTGCTCTACTATATGTTGCTAAGTGGGGAAAAACACACTGCAGGATGATAGGTGGTGCCCCAGTTTGGTATTAAGGTCAGACACAAAATGTCTGTGTCTTGAAAAGGGGTACTAAACTGTGTACAGTAGTGACCATAAAGTGCATTGGCAAGACCCAGGAGGTAGAGACTTAATCTAGAGAAACTCAGAGACCTGCTCCTGTTGTAATGAGATTTAGGCTCTATAGTGAGACTCCTGGATTCAAATCCCAGTTCTGCCTCTTACTGTGTGGCCTTTGATACATCATTAACCGTCTATGCCTTCATTTTCTCAGAAGTAAAATGGAGATGATAATTGTTGAGGTGAGAATTAAATTATTTAGTGCATGTATAATACTAACAGTGCTTAAGCATAGGAATATTAGCTAAGTCATAGTCATATTAGCTAAGTCAGAGATTGCTGAGTTTGCGGTCCAGCTTTGCCACTTAGTATGCAACTTTGAGCCTCTGTGACCTGCAGGGTTGTAAGGATTTCGAATGATAGTGTGAAAACATCTTGCTGAAAAATTTGTCTCTCCTCTGTTGTTCCTGGCCCTACTGCAGAGTTGGTAAATAGGAGTCTCTGAATTTTATCCCTGAGAGTAAATCCCATTCAGTCTCCTCCTGAGGAAGAGCATACTTGAATGTGTCCAGGGCTAGATGTAGTGGAAGTTAGGGTGGCAGCCCCTGTCTGGAGGACGGGAGACTGGTGGGGGTGTGCTGGAAGGCATGGACAGCATTCAGCTCTGGGCTGCCCCATGGAGACTGGGCCAGAAGCTGACAGACCTTACCTTTTTAAGAGAGAATCGTGAAATCTGCTAAATTTTGATTTTTGGCAGTTACTTCAATTTTGTAAACACTGAGGGCAAACAAAACATGGCAACAGGCCACATTTAGCCCACGAGCTGTCAGTTTGTTATCTCTGCTCTAGCCGTTCTATGCTTGAGTTAGCAAAATATTTACTAAGTCGCTGCTGTACTATGTTCCTTCAGTGCCTGATCATGTTTATTGTTCTGAAACTTCAGGTCTGCTGGCCCAGTAACTTATCAGGTACTAATGTAATCTGGTGGGTTTGGAATGGTCTTTCATTGTGGCTGCCCTGACTACTATTGAGATTCAAAGTCTTTTTTTTTTAAAGATTTATTTATTTATGCATATAAGAACTGGGGTACAGGCCAGAGGTGCAGGGGAGGGGGGATGAGAGGATTCACCAGAGACAGAGTGACAGAGTGACAGAGTGGAGAGCAGAACAGGCAGACTGACTGAAATACACTGCTGAGGGGAGCAGCAGGGTGAGATAGGAGAGGTCTGCCGCGCCATGTGGGTTTCTCTCTGGCTGGCTGGGGATCGAACTTGTGCTGCAGAGGCTGCGGATAGCTTCACAGCACTGCGCCTAACCCCTTGCGCCACCAGGGAGGCCCAAGATTCAAATTCTTTTCATGTTGGGCCTCCCAGGTGGTGCAAGGGATTAAGCACCGCACTATGAAGCAATCCACAGCCTCTGCAGCATGATTTGATCCCCAGCAGGTCAGAAAGAAAACCCACATGGAGAAGCAGACCTCTCCTGTCTCCCCTGCTGCTCCCCTCGGCAGTGTATTTCAGTCAGTCTGCCTGTTCTGTTCCCCACTCTGTCTCTGGTGAATCCTCTCATCCCCTATATCTCTGGCCTGTACCCAGCTCTTGTATGCATAAATAAATAAATCTTTTAAAAAACAAACAAACAAAAAAACAAAATTCCTTTTATGTTTCAGTAGAAGTTTCCTCTTCTCAGTAGAATTTTTGTTTCATTTCTTTGGATCATCCTCAAATACTGATAGATTTAAGGCTTCCTAATGGAATTTTTCTTTTTCTGTAACATCATACCCACTAGACTGGACTCCTTGTTTAGGTTTGGGGCTGTCTGAACATCTTGGGAGACCTAGCAGCAAACACAGTGCCTGCCACAGAGTAAGGGGTCAACAAATATCGAATGAATCAAGTCCTATTTCAAGAACGTGATATTTCTTTTGCAGTTCTTGGCACAAAGAACAGACTTGATCATTAAATCTAAAGACCACTCTGCTAGTAAAGTTACTTCCAACACAAGCAGATTAATTCAAAGACAAATATGAGGTAAGGTGCCGCTCCACCACGTAAGCGGCCCCTCTGACCTAGGATGAATAGGCAATCAACATATTCAGCAAGCACAACTCTGTCACTTTGATGAGAAAATAGACTGTGAGATTTGTCTGTGTCTTGCCCCATTAAAACCAGGAAGTGAAAAGAGGAACTGGCCTTGAGGGAATAGTGATTCTTTTAGGTGGTTGGGGAAGTAACCCCTGAAAGAAGCACTCAAGCTTGAGAGAGGGCAAAACTGGAACTCTGAAGCTGTGGATGGTCCCCCTTGGCCGTTTGTACAGATCACAGTGTTTCCCCAGAAATGACAGAAATGACCAGTTGCAGAGTAAAGCCTCCTTCTCGGTGAATTAGGAAGAACATTGTTTTCATAGTCAGACACCTGGGTTCCAGTCCCAGCGGTTCCTGTTGCCTCACCACTACTGCTGAGATTGAAAATCTTTTTGTGTTTCAATAGAAGTTTCCTCTTCTCTTTCTCTTTCTCTAAAATGGGGGAAATAATACCTACTGCCTGAGGCAGTCCTGTAAGTGAGAAAGCATTTAAGCACCTACTACTACTAACAATACTGCTTCCATTTGATTGTCACTGTTACCACAGCCAGCCTGCCTATTCATCCTAGGTCAGAGGGGCCGCTTACGTGGTGGAGCGGCACCTTACCTCATATTTGTCTTTGAATTAATCTGCTTGTGTTGGAAGTAACTTTACTAGCAGAGTGGTCTTTAGATTTAATGATCAAGTCTGTTCTTTGTGTGTGATGTCAGTTTCTCTGAGTCTTCGTTACATGCTGCTGCTCTCTAGAGTAAGTTCCTTGAGGGCTGCCGGAAGGTCACGCTGGCTTGAACCAGTGTTTCATGCTGGTTTGAACACAGTGGTTCTGAATGGCTGGTTTGCATCTGTTCAGGTTACCTGCATTTGGTCTTCGAAAGAAAAGAATATGCCAGCTTCACAGACCTTTAATTTATTTTTTTAAAGATTTATTTATTTATGCATACAAGAATTGGGGTACAGAAGTGTGAGGGGTGAGAGAATTCACCAGAGAGTGGGGGCACAACAGGCAGATGCACTGAAATATACTGCTGAGGGGAGCAGCAGGTGAGGCAGGAGAGGTCTGCTGCGCCATGTGGGTTTCTCCGTGGCAGGGGATCGAACTTGCTGCACCTCCCCCTGCAGTGACCTTTAGGGCTAACCGTCCCTAGGTCCGGCTGGGCAACCAGCGCGCAGGGGGAGAACAGCAAAACCCTACATACCTGCTGCACCTCCCCCTGCAGTGACCTTTAGGAATGGCTTTCACCACGGTCCCTAGGTCCGGCTGGGCAACCAGCACGCAGGGGGAGAACAGCATAACACCCTGAAGCAGAGGAAGTACAGCGGAAGTTCCCTGAAAAGACAGAAGCTTATCAAAAGATACCACTACAAGAATGCTAAAAATCTTATCCCGTCTTTTTAGAACTACAACCTTTAATCCCTTATTGTCTTTCTAAACTTCCTTCTTTCTTCTATAAAAGTCATTGCTTGTTATGTAGATCACCTCCCTGATGGTGATAGACTGAGCCCATGAGCAAGCTGATTTCATTGATATTCATTGTTCCTGTGCTTTTGGAAAACATATATATATTGGTCACAAACTCAAAGAAAATTACACTCAGATTTTCACTCTTGAAGTGTGTCTGTGTGTCCTTTCTTTCACCGACGCCCTGACCACCCTGCACGCTTCTCTCAACCCTGAGGTGGCCTCATCGTCTACTGCTGTGCTGGTCCACCCTGCACGCTTCTCTCAACCCTGAGGTGGCCTCATCGTCTACTGCTGTGCT